ATATGCATCTCGGCGTAAAACTGTCTATTGTTTAGCCTGCTCCCTAGCCTCGGCTGCACCTCGGCTGTAAAACTGCATGCTCGACTATAATAGACCGAACACGCCGTATCGTCAAGCGACGTCAGCAGGCTCACCTGTATGCGCAGTAAGCATAGGATGTGTGTTTGTATTTTAATTGTACAGAGTATCCCACATAACAAGGGCGACCCCCTTATCTGGTGAAATAAAATAGATACAAAAAATGTTGAGAATCAACAGGTACACTATCATGCTGGAACCAAGCAGTGTCAATTCGTCCAGGTCTTCCTCCATATCATTTTGGAGTGAATTCAAATAACTCTTTTATAAAATTATGAGAATTTCAGGTCCGGGTTCCAAAAATTACTTGATGATGTCCAAAATAAGCTCGAAATGCATCGAAACTACAATATGAAGCATAACGTCAGAATGGAAATGGCTATTCGAATCTGATTTCGAAATATCAGGGCCGTATTTGAAAAAATGAAGTTGTTGATGGTTGCTCAAAGACGAAACGTTGGATTATAAAATCGATGATGCCTAATTAAATAGCATCTGAAAATGTCTTGGAGATGTTTGATCAGTTTTGTCATAGCTTCGTTATCAACGCCAGAAAAAAAAATTAATTGAAAATCCTGAAATTCAATCTCTTTTGAATAACTCAAAAATAAAAGTCATAGAGATATTCAAAACTCAATTGTTTTGGTTCTTCACACGCGCAGCTTTTCTCACAGTTAACCAATAGGCGAGTTGACTATTTTTTCTTTATTTCATTATTTATAGAATCAGCACTCAAATAACTTTTAATTTCATATTTTGTGAGAATTTTTTGATTGATTTTTTGGTGCTATAATCATCAATATTATCACGATTTCGTGAGTAGGGGCAGACCATAGCACAGTTGCCATTTGTTGAAATACGATTGGGAACTTCAGAAATATTAGTTATTTAATACTTCATGAATTCTCAATTGAGTATTGGTAATATTTCGAATCAGCAATGAAAATGCAATTATCTCAAAATGTTCCCTTATGATTTGTGGCTTATTGTTATAATGAATTTGCGTAGTTGATCATTATATTGATTCACACTAGAGGACGTTTGAATCGGTGAACGTGACAACCGCGGCGCACGACTTGTGGGCGTGGTCTTGTCAGTTCTCGACATTCAGCACAATTTTGGCAAGTCTCCAACATTCACATGATATTTTGTTATGGAGAATAAGAAATATGTGGATATGCGGATTGCTCGAAGAAGTCAAGAATGAACTAAAACATCATGGGTTCCTCCTATTATGTTCTATTCAACGACAGGACTCTTACATCTTTTTGATAACTTGATCATAATAATTGGTGACTTGACAACCTTTCTTCATGAGTGGAAATGGAAGATTATCTGACCAATAACGAAACAGCATAAAAACTGACCACCATTTATTCGACGTATCGCCAAATGGCGGCCATGAAGGTTCGTTTGAAATGAGCCAGGGGCGTCCGGAGGGGGAGGCAAGGGGGGCGCTCGCCCTCCCTAGCGCCTGGTCTTTACTCAGATAGGTACTTTATAAACAAGATACATTTGCATTATTCAATTCCTATTCTGATTAGCGCTTCTTATAGTGACTTCATGAGACTCTGTTTTATTAGTATTCATCGACATCTTATAGATAGATATATAGTTAATTTTATCAACGAAGTTATTGGTAAATTTGCTCAAGACTCAAGATTATTATCACGTGCAATTTTTTATTGTAATCTTGGCTGTAAACAGAATACCTATGTGGTGTCAATTCAATCAATTTTCTTTTTTTTTATTCCATTTTTTATGTAGAATAGAGAGAGAGAGAGTGAAGTGCATGATTTTTCCATAGGTGGTTTTGTAACCAGAGGGTGCTGAAATGCACTGAGGGAAGAAAGAACTCACTTTCGAGGTATATATACCATTTTTTGCACGTATGAAAATGAAAATCTGAACGCAATAATCACAAAATCAAGTTATTTGATTATTATGACTACCGATAAAGAAGAGTAGCCATATGGCTTTTTGTGAACATCGAAAAAGTGTGGTAGCATATGTTCTTGATTGCTTTCCAAAGTTTTTTTCAATAACTATTGCAGGAATGTGTGGAAAAACTATTAAAAAAGCTGCTGCAATGCTGCAAACATAGTGGTAGATTTATTGCCAGAAAAATCCCAGAAATTTTCTTTAGCCTAGAGAGATTTCGAACAACGCAAACACTCATTATTTACATAAAAAGGCGTGAGAAGTATTGCAGAAATTAATTTAGGTTCCTAACGACACAGTGAAGTAATTGAATTCCAATAATTAATTATCAGTCCACTCGCCCATTCTGAATCTCTCATATTTTCCGAGATGCCCATACTGACCCTCCTTATCTTATAATCAGCTCATACGAGATATGTAGCTGATTATGCTCCTATCTGTCTAGTCTTTTGTTTCTATCGGTATCTGAACTATTTGTTCAAAACAGAAAAAAAAAAACTATTTTTTTATTCAAGCGGCATAGAAAGTGGCTTTAACCTAATACTTAACAGGCAGGAAAACTGACTCCTTTCTTTACCTAGACAGGAGAAGTTTGTTGCTATGCAATGGTCCAAATAATTTGTTTTTGGGTAATAGGCAAAAAACTAGTTGACATAGTAGATTGTTTCATTAGGATCAAAAGTGACACTTTGTTTGACAAGCGAATTTTGCATTTGCGAGGCGGAGCGTTTAGCGAAGCTGAAGTTTGTTGCTATGCAATGGTCCAAATAATTTGTTTTTGGGTAATAGACAAAAAACTAGTTGACATAGTAGATTGTTTCATTAGGATCAAAAGTGACACTTTGTTTGACAAGCGAATTTTGCATTTGCGAGGCGGAGCGTTTAGCGAAGCCGAGCGAAAGCAAAATTTGCGAGTCGAACAAAGTCACTTTTGATCCGAATGAAACATGCTATTTTTTCTGCAACCGAAGCAATTGACTCAAATAAACATGTGAAGTAACCACCAATGCCGTGCCATATGTATGCAATGCAACAAATATTGACAAATAATCCGTGTGGTGAGAATATTCTACCTGTATTAACAGCAGGTTAGGTTTTCAAGGATGTTCGAATTGTAGTTTCAATATAAATACAACCACAGAGTGACATATTTGTGTATGGACCAGGTGCTCTAATGACGAATACCGCGCCAGTGCCAGCTATAGGAGCAAGACGTGGAAAATGTTAGGTTAGTGAGCATATATCAACAATGATAATAGTGATTATTTATTCCTCTCCATACTACACTGTGTTTGACTCGATAATCAAATGAAGCTAAACAATATCGTTGTTTGAGACAAAAAACTATTTATCCATCCCGAGAATGACGAATGAAATACAGATCAAGCAAGTATTTGAATCTTGAAGGCTTCCCTGATCAAAACAAAAATACTTGACTGAGATGTTTATAATTCCAATACTAAACTATAATAAGGTGTATTTATATCTCCAGCATGGGTATGAAATGCCAAATCTGCTGAAATCGGAAACAAATCAGTTATGCGTCTCAACCCATATAACCAACCGTCACAATGTTGTTTATTCTTGATGACGTCCAGTACATCCTTTTTAGTTCCTAGGAGCTAAAGTTCAACTTTAGCTCCTAGGAACTAAAATTCAACTTTAGCTCCAAGGAACTAAATATGTTGCCTAGCAACATACCTATTTTTGTGTCAGTAATAGAAACGTCAATTTAAGAGCTAATTTTGGTATCAAAATGGACGACATTTGTGTCGGTTGCAGAAAAACATACTTTTTTCATGTTTTTAGGCTATATCTCAAATTCCATGAAAATTTTTTGGTGGCAAACATCAGATTCGTGATCAGCCCCACAAAAAACATTCTATACCAGAAATTCATAACTACTCCAAAATTTGGAATCATTCATTCAGTCGTTACTTGGTCTATTGGTTGCTAAAGCATACTATTCACGTCATCTACATAATTATCTATCCCAATACAAAAATAGTTTCATTAATGGATGTTTGTGTATTATTCATCCCAAGCTATCCATGCAAATTTCAGCAAGTAAAGGGCTCAGTGGATTTCCCATAATCAACCTTTTTGAGACGGAATATATATTTTGTTGTCGGATTGAAAGTAATTCTGCTTGAGGCATATCGGCAGAAGGTCTGAAATCTCTTGTTTGGTAATCGGATTAACATAGTTTTTATCTAATAACTCCTCAACTAAAATTATAGTATATTCGGGTGGTATACTTGAAAATAGGTTTTGAACATCAAATGGAATGAATTTTGTATTGTTAGCAGTCATAGGAAGAGTGACATTTTGGATTTTAGTTATCACTTATTTCAATGCCTTCCTGTATATATAAAAATATTTGACCTACCGAAAATAGCTATTTGTGTATTTGGAGCGCAAAGTGATAGATTGCCGCTCGACAAAGAAAGTTACCGCGCGATGCGGAGCGGAGCTCGGTAATCTTTGGAGAGCGGCAATAACACTTTGTGCTCGAAATACACACAAGATTTTTTCTACTAACGCAGCTTCTGGAAATAACTACCCTGAAAGAATGAGCGATTGAAATAGTTGAGAAAGTTCTTATCCATATTATCCCATATGTCCAAAGGAAACAAAAAAAGAAATATAATAAACAGAAAACAGTAGTATATACCGAGAAATGAAATGAGGTATCAGAAACTCCAAAAGTAAATATGGTATTGTCTTTGACATTTGAGACAAATTCAGCAAAAAACAACTGAATTTATTTTCGCCCAGAAAGGCTGATGAAAATACATTATATTAAACATTCAGTTCAACCAGAAATAAACTGATTTTGATTTTTGCAAATTGAAAGACCTATATATACTTCAAATTCTTGTAATATTGAACAAAATACCAGCTAGGTGTTCCATTTGAAAATTGAGTTGATATAGATATGGGAGCAGCTATTACCAAATTATTCAAAATTATTCACATACCTTATTCTTTCTCCGGTGAGGCATCACTTTGAAGTTTGAACTAGCTCTATACGTAGTGAAAAAAGTAAGTGTGATTAAAACAATTGATCAGTCGTTTTATTAGCCTATATCCTATATCTAATCATCATGGAAACAATGCAATATATTTCGGGAAATTACTATTTGACCACTTGATTATGCTGGGAATCACACAATAGTCGGGGCTTGTTTTGCGAAAAGTCAAATTCTAGAAGCATTTCATGTAACAATTGGATAAATGACGTTAACCCCCTATTTCGACCCCGCTGAATCCGAAAATACCGTTTATCAAGTCGAAATTCTAACCGGAAGTGAGATATTCAAGATGGCGTCCGAAATACCCCTAAAATCTAATTATTTTCTACTTTCGGTCAGCTATACGATTGAGGTGTCGATGTCTATGTTTTCGGGGGTGTAAAATACGATGAGACACTCAAAAAATGATTTGGAGCATTGAAAGTTCATCGAATGATCAAATTTTGACGAAATAGACCAAAATTCCAAAGAACTTGTGAAAACGTGTTGCATAATGTATATGCTTGCATACGTTTTCGAACATTGTCCAAGCCTTCATTTCTTATATTTTGAGAGAGCCCCTTGCAGTCACGAGTTCCAAATTCGGAAAATGAATTGGGAATAGGTGGCAAAGTCATCAGGATTGGGATATATCGTCCATCAACAATTTTTCAGCCGTAATTATTCGGGTCTTATAAATCAGGATACTGATCATGGGCATTAATCCACACTAGTATCTGAACATAACATTAACATCCTTCGATTTGTTCAATTTTCTTTTACCTGGAAGTAGCACCGGAGAATGTGTTGACGGAGGGCATCAGTGGTAGATGGCGAAAATCATTCGCACTGTCCAAAAAATTGCAACATGGGCTGCGTCTGCCGTTGTAATGTCCAGTCCAACTCAAAATAAAAATGGTAGTAGTATCGAAACGGCTGATAGTTCTTATTCACCATGTGTCTCAGAAAAGGGACGCAACAAACCTTGTATAAAGCTTGCACCACAAACTGTTCAACCAAACGGAGATCATCGGGGGCTAGATCGGGAGTTTTTACAAGCTGACTGAGGAGTTTACAGTAGTTTTCTTCTATGTACTTGCTTCCACCGTTCTGTTTTTGTGACTGACGCTAATTTAAATGTAGTATCACATTCAGTGATTGCGTGGAAAGCCATCAGGTTTTTTATCTGTTGTGGTGCAAGTTTCTTACATAGTTCGTGAATTGGAATATACTCCATGCGTAAAAGCCGAATGAGAGGCTGTTGTTTTTTCTGTTAAAGACACTAGTGTGATTTCATTATTCATCTATCACTTTGAAAGAATGAAATGCAAGGAATGCTGGGTGATGTGTGGTACTTCCCGAGATAGAAAGTATATTCCAATTCATGAACTATGTAGAAAGCTCACATCACAACAGATCAAAAACCTGATGGATTTTCACGCAATCACCGAATGTGATACTGAATCTTGATGAGGGTCTGCCACAAAAACAGGACGGTGGAAGCAGTACATTGAAGAAAACTACTGTAAACTCCTCAGTCGGCTTGGAAAGACTCCTGATATAGCCCCCGAGGATCTCCGCTTGGTTGAACAGTTTGTGGTGCCAGCTTTATACAAGGTTTCTTGCGTCCCTTTTCTAAGACACATGGTGAATTAGAACTGTTAGCCGTTTTTATACTAATATAATTTTTATTTCAAGTTGGACCGGACATTACAACGGCAGACGCAGCCCGTGTTGCAATTTTTGGGACAGTGCGAATGATTTTTGCCATTTACCACTGATGCCATCCATCAACACATTCTTCGGTGCCACTTCCAGATAAAATTAACAAGAAGAAAAAGAAAATAGAAAAAATCGAGGGATTTCAATTTTAGTCTGTTTTCTTTTTAGGTACTAGTGTGTGGTTTAACGCCCATGATCAGTATCTTGATTCACCACACCCGATCAATTGCGGCTGGAAAATTGGTGATGGACGGTGAGCTTGTGGCTGCATGGGGCTCTGCGGCCACTGCGGCACGAAGCAGTGTGGCTGCAGGGAGCCGAATGGAGCAGAAAAGATGAGGAAGACTACTAATAGTGAACTTTTTTTTCAAAATATAAGAAATGAAGGCTTGGACAATGTTCAAATGCTTTTTTGGCTCATAAACGTATCGAGCACCCTCGAAAACGTATGCGAGCATGTACATTATACAACACGTTTTCACAAGTTCTTTGGAATTTTGGCCCATATCGTCAAAATTTGATCATTCGATGAACTTTCAAAGCTCCAAATCATTTTTTTGAGTGTCCCATCGTATTCTACACCCCCGAAAACATAGACATCGACACCTCAATCGTATAGCTGACCGAAAGTAGAAAATAATTTGATTTTAGGGGTATTCTGGACGCCATCTTAAATATCTCACTTCCGGTTGGAATTTCGACTTGATAAACGGTATTTTCGGATTCAGCGGGGTCAAAATAGGGGGTTAACAGCATTTATCCAATTGTTACATGAAATGCTTCTAGGATTGTAACGGAGGGCTTCTTTTGGAATTTAGCCCCGACTACAAGGATTTTGCAGTGGAGGTACAATGTCTCGACTGAGATGTTTATTATTCTTCTGCATGGTGTGTCCACTCTTCAATTCTTTCGTCAGACTAACTCTCGATTGAGTCGATATGAACAATTGAATGCGAGTTCGGAACGTGGGGTTGACATATTCGATGATAGATGGCGTGAAAGATTGAGAATTTCTTTGAAAATTTCAAAATCCGTTTCCAATCTTATTATGAAGTTGAACTAGGCTTCCAAGGATGTGTTTTTCTTCTTTCGGGACTTGAAAAGTCCCGTTAATGATGCACTTTCATTTTCAATTTTCAATGCAAATTGTGATGATTATTGGAATCTACTGTTCAGTTTTGATGATCTACTGTTTTTTCCTCACCCATCTACTGCTCCGGCAAATTTTCATCAACTGCTCGTCGTCAGTTTGATCAGGTATGTTTGAAAAGCGGTCGCATAGGAATGCCATTCAAGTGTTGTGTTCCCTTTTGTCGGGGGAATTATGTGGGTGGTCCAAAAGTTCATGTTTTTAGTTTCCCCTTGGACAAGGAACTATCGAAAAAGTGGGTATATGCAATTCAATTGTTTATCCTCATCCTGCAGATACATCACGCCCTCTTTTCTTTTTGATTCTGTACATTTGTTGAAATGCATAAGGAATATTTGGCTCAATTCAAAACCAGATCAGAAATTGAATTAAGTATCCCCATTTTGGAGCAGGGGTTGAAAGAGTTGCTTCTTTTCATAGTTCAAAAACCCTTCACGAATTAGAACATGATAAATTATTACTATTTGGATATTCATTGAACCTGAAGGCGCTATTTCTCTCGTATATGGAAAGAGAAAACGTCGCTTTGGCTCTAAAATTTTCATGAAATCTCGAAAGCGAAGCAAGGAATCACCCCTTGAATTTTTTCGGTGTTATTTAGATACACCCTGTATATGATAACGAATTCAACGATATCGATAGGAATATTTCAAACTGTCACGGAGGTATTTGCATTCAAAGTTTCCGTATGCTCAATGGGTGTGAAAACACAATATCTAAACTTCTTTTTTTTTACGCTTGGAGCGCACGAAATGATCGCTTGGAGCGCACGAAATGAAACCCTTATAATGTTCAAAGAACATCGTGCGTTCCTAGGGAGGATAGGGACAGGAGGTAGGTATTGGAATTTTTTTTGAACTTCTGGAGGTTATATGTTGTTGGGAATACTTCCTCAGGCAATGAATTCCAGAGCCTAGCCGTTCTATGGATGAAGGAGTTTTGATAAAGTGCTGTTCGACATCTTTCGAGGTTGACAACGAAAGGATGTGCTGACTGGGCTTGTCTAGTTCGTCTGACTGGTATTGCTAGTGAATGGATGATAGCAGAGATTTCCGAAGAACATTTCCCGTCGAAGTATCGATAGAAAAGTGGAAGGTCGCCGACCTTTCGGTGTTCCAATGATGTCGAAGAGTGGCGTCCCCACCAGGCGAATGGCTCTTCTCTGGATGGAATCTAAGAGCATCAGCATATGTTTTGGTGCAGAACCCCATATGTGGAAACAGTATTCTAGAACAGGCCGTATCTGCGCTTTGTAGATCATGAGAAGCTGTTGAGAAGTCGTAGCTTTTCGCACGGAACAAGAATCCGAGTTTTTGTGAAGCAGCTTTTGCGATGGATCTGACATGATTATCCCATGAAAGAGTGTTGCTGATGGAGATACCGAGTATAGATATGGTGGGCTTGGTGGGGATGGTGGTGCCAAACATTACAATATCGGGTATACTGAGTTCCGCCTTTCTAGAGAAGATACAGGCTTGAGTTTTGGTGGCGTTGAATTCAACTAGGTTGTTGGCTCCCCAGGCTGTGATTTCAGCAAGGTCTTCGTTGACAGCGTTGACCTGCCTGCGCCGTGAGTTCTTAGTTTCCTGGGAGGAAATGGGAATTCTGGAAGAGAACGCAGTATGGAGGGTATTAGCATCTGCAAAGCTGTGGATGTGGTGCTCACACCACAGGTATTCTTATCCACATGTTGAGTTTTGAACTGGTCTATCGGATATTATCTTTAGAGGGGGACGAAATATTGTCGGAATAAGTAATGATACTCCGCCACTAACTTAGATCAGTTTGAATCGCGGCACGTTTGGATATTCGCAAAGGCGACATCATCCCCTTTTATTTGCTTCTTGATCCAACTCGTTATCACATGACGGAAGTATGTCCGGAATAATAGCAGCAAAAAAATTGCTGTGCCATGGACTTGGCTCAGGCTGAAGTGTGGCCCTGGTAGGTTCTCGAAATTTACCATTTGATTGGTATCGGATGGCATAATTTTTACCTCGTTATCAAATCGCAAAATCGACTAAATCGAGTGCAAATTTCCGCACAGGAAAGTGCCATTTTTCAATTATTTTGCTCGGGATAGTGATTGGCACAGGTGCCGTTCGATAAACTACATTGGTTTTACATGCCTTTGGCACATACAGTGTGCCTCAGCTGAAACTTGTCACCCCCTAAATATCCGATGTCGTTAAAAAAATTGAAAATTGCTCGAACAGGTCGATTTCAATTTGGCGGGGGACACATTTTTCTGAAACTATCAAATTCCAAAGTTGAAACCTTGATGCGAAACGGGCATCAACTTTCGATTTTCAAATGGAACGCCCTGTATTTCATTGCATTTTTAGATTTTTCCTGAAGAGCTGCTTTCATCAATGTATCACACTTGGGGTCTAGCAGGAATGATTAGAGATAAAGGGTGTTCAAAATCGAGATTTTTCAATTTTAGGATTTTTTTGTGTCGAAACTATTCATAATCGATCAAAACGGCTTACATGTTCCTATCTTCACTATCTACTGACATTCATTTGGTTTTATTCATGACGAAGGAACAGATACAGGGTGATCAGAATTCTGAATCTTGAACCACCCTGTATTTGTAACAATTAAATGTCAGTAGTTAGTGAATCCAAAGTTAAGATTGGGACATGAAAGCCGTTTTGGCAGATAATGAATAGTTTCGACAAAAAAATCCTAAAGTTGAAAAATCTGATTTTGAACATCCTATATCTCTGTAATCATTCCTGCTAGACACCAAGTGTGATATTGATGAAAGCAGCTCTTCAGGGATAATCTAAGAATGCAATGAAATACAGGGTGTTCCATTTGAAAATCGAAAGTTGATGCCCGTTACGCTTCAAGGTTTCAATTTTGGAATATGATAATTGTAGAAAACTGTGTAACTCGCCAAATTGAAATCGATCTGTCCGAGCGATTTTCAATTTTTTTTTACTACATCGGAGATTAGGGGGGTGACAAGTTCTAGCTGGGACACATTGTATATCATTTCGTTAGTATTTTATATGTACAGCCATCTTCAGAAAACATGTCGCACATGGACGATGATAGCATTCTTAATACTCCTGCAATTAGAGCGCTGACACCGTCCAACCGCGACATGATCTCTGAAGACGACTGTACAATAGTGTTACCTGATGACTTCCGTTGGATCGAAACAAATGTCTTCCTCGTTGAAGAGTTGGGACACCCTGTACTTCAAGCCTCCCCAATTTTATAGTGTAGTTTTAGGAACAAGTCGAACGAAAATTATCAGGTTCATTCTTCATTTCAATTGAATACTTAATAATTGAAAAACAATACATCACGTTGTATAAAAATATGAATGACGTTTTCAATATCCAAGAAACAAGTTGACAAAACAAATCCTCAATACCCTTCTGATGGGCATATTTGATGTTCATTGAAAGAACCATTATCCTTTTTTCAAGTTTTACTGATTCTAGAAATATTTTATATTTGTACTTGGTCACCATGTTTATTTGCATCGTCATGAAATCTTCAAACTTTACTTTTGTTACTCTGTTATTTACGTCCGATCAATGGAATGTTCCATGAAAAAAGAAGGGACTGTTTATCGTATCGAGATCGAGCAAAAAATTGTGAATCATTCGATTACAGAACACTGTTTGTTCTGAGAGCAGTCGAATCTATCATCAGTATATCGTTTACTGCGCAAGGGTGTGTATGTGTGGTGAAAACTGACTGTTAGATTATTTGAATTTGAATTTTTGAATATTGAAAAGTGTACCCAAAGTGAGGAAAGGATGCCGGTGAGTTGATATCAATGCTTTTAGATCAAATCGATACCAATTCTTATGGTTTTGATCTCGGTTTTCATATTTTTTTCTTGCCGATCTACAAGAGTTCCGGATCTTATAAAGATTCTGATTTTTACCTGGAAATTTCAATTTTCTTTCCAAAATTTCGACTTCAGAGTGAAAAATTCGCCGTTTATATCGAAATCCCAACTTTTATCTCGAATGTTTCGACTTTTATTACCAAAATTCCTACTTTTTCCAAATTTCGAAATTTTTCTTTGAATGTGAACTTCTAGAACACAACATCGAGTTCAAAAATCTATTGGCCAATAATAGTAATTCTACAGTGTGTGATCCTATGATGGGATATTTCAAAAAAAAAATGTATTCACTTGACAATTTTTGCTAAAACTGCATTTATCATGCGATGTTTTTTTTCGAAAATATTTTTTGGTACTTACGTATTTTTGTCTGAAAAACACGATTTTGATAATGATAATGTGAACAAATCACTATTTATCGAGATATTTCAAGAAAAAGTTCGAAATTTCGCCTTCTTTCTCCCCTTGTGTTGGATGCATTTACAGCTACTTGCTCTTCTTATTGTGCCATTGGACACTTTATACAGGGTGATCCACGGTGGATGACCTATTAGAAGTATTTGGAGAACGAAAAGACAGAACATTCTGAAAATTGGGATGCTTTGGTAATTGAACATTTTCTATCCTTCTAAAATATTTCCATCCATACAGTGTTGCCACTTCTATCAGAAACAACTGACAACTTTGTCATTTTAAATGGAGCACCCTGTATTTTATTGCATTTTAAGATTCTTCCTGAAGAGCTGATTCCATCAATGTATCACACTTGGGGTCTAGCAGGAATGATTAGAGATAAAGGGTGTTCAAAATCGAGATTTTTCAATTTTAGGATTTT